GGGGGCGGGGAGTCACCCTAAACCACCCACACGGGGCTGAGAAACTGGAGGCGGGGCCTGCGGGATTCAACATCCACGTCTTGAGCACCTACTTGGTGCTAAAGGTTATTTTAGGTGGTGTTTGTAGCCATAAGCAGCGCGGGCGAGATTCTGCCCTACGAACCCGGCCTCCGGCGTGCAGTACACAATGCTGCTTAGTGTTTGCTGATTGGCCGGGTGATGGCTGAGGACCAGGGAGCACCCTCTCACACCCCCCATCTGTGACCTTCCCGTTTTAGTTTTTCCTTGCATGTCCCTAAACCCTTCTACTGTCATCATGTCCCCCACATATAATCCTAACGATGTGATGTCAGAACCCTGTGTATCGATCCACTGCCTGCTCCCAGCACCTTACCCGGTGTTTGCACACCGTAGGCACTCGGTAAATGACCGTCAAGGGAAGGAATAACCCTTGGGACCAGCAGTTGGTGTAATGGCTATGTCGCTGGACTCCCACGTAGACGACCGCGGTTTGAGTCCCAGACCTGGTGGCTTAAACTCACGCCGGGCGCTTGTGCGTGCGTGCCCAAGATCCCGAGAGGAGAATGGAGGAGAAGGGATTGCGGCGTGGCCATGCCCCCTGGGGATGGCCTTTCTGTCTCTCTGTGTCTCTCTGCCTTTCTGGAGAGTGCACGCGCCCTATAGGAAGAACCTCTCCAAAAAAAAAAAAAGAGAGAGAGAAAGAAAAAATAAATGAATAAACCCATTGGGTCAAAGCTTTCGGAGGGGGGCTTAGTCTGTGGGAAATGTGGAAAGGTGGAACTTGATGCTGGCGGTTGGAGAGGGCTGGGGGTGTTTTGGTGGTAATTGAAAGAACTAAGACGAGACTTGCTGTTACCTTCATAAATCCTCAAAATAATCTTTTTTTTTTAAAGAGTAATTATTTTAACTTTATTATTATGTTCCAATTTGACCAGAGAGGGACACAGAGAGAGCGGGAAAGTGAGAAAGGAAGCCTCCAGGTCCAGGACTTGAACCATGGTTAGCCATGTGGGAGTCCAGTGCCCTTAGCCACCATGCCACCTGCTAGCCCACAAAATAATCTTAGAAGACTTCTTTCTAGTCCCATTTTTTAAAGAAGAACTATTTATTTCATTTTATCTATTATTTTAAAATTTGCTATAGGGCACATGAGCTCACCAGAGAGAGACAGAGAGAGAGAGAAAGAAAGCAAGCCTCCAGGTCTGGGACTCAAACCATAGATGGCCTGTGGGAGTCTAGTGTCTTAACCACCATGCCATCTGCTGCCCCCTCCTTTAAATGTTTACCATAGAGCCTGTGCACTTACCAGACAGAGACAGAGAGAGGGAAAGTGAGAAACCACCTCCTGGCCACCCCATAATCCCTTCTCCTCCACGCTCCTCTCAGGATTTGGGGCGCATATATGATTTTCAAGCCACCGGGTCCAGGACTCAAACTGCAGCTGGCCATGTGGGAGTCCAGTGCCTTAAGCACCACGCCACCTGCTGGCCCCTCTAGTCGCACTTTACAGAGGACTTAACTGAGACACAGAGAGGGAACAGCTGCTTGCTGTGGCACTGGGGTGTGGCATGTGGCCATTTGTCCCTCAGTACCTGCAGGGCTGGTGACACTTCCGTTCCTCAGGTCTGTCCTGCCTCTGTCTGGGGAGGCCTTCCTCGGCCACCCTATCTAACATGGAGACAGTCTAAACTAAAACTTCGTCCAGCCAGCTGTTACTCAGGCATTCTGCCTGACTGCACACCACCCGGAAAACGCCCCCAAACATGTTTCGGCGAGAGCATAGAGTTCCGCGGCAGTCAGACGGCCCGGCATCTGTGCAGACTTCAGATCTGAACCCGTGGCAGTGGGGATCAGGTAGCCCTCCCCGGAAAGTCTCCTTCACTCTTCTGCCTCCACTCTTCTCCCGTGACCACAGGGTTTCTTATTTTGGCTCTTTGGTTTCACTGCTAGGGGGAGATTTATCTGTAACATAACAAGGATGATTTCTTTTTCTCTTTCTTTTGTTTTTAGGCAAACATTTTTTGCTATAGGGCATGTTCACTTGCCAGAGAGAGACAGAGAGACAGAAAGTGAGAAATCACCCCCCCAGGGGGGATGGCCACGCTAGAATCCCTTCTCCTCCATTCTCTTCTTGGAATCTTGGGCACGCACGCACACGCGCCCTGCATGAGTTTCAAGCCACCAGGTCTGGGACTCGAACCACAGTTGGCCATGTAGGAGTCCAGTGGTGTAACTATCATGCCATGTTCTGGTCTCAAGGATGATTTCTTATGGGCCTCCGAAAGACAGCCGATGGACTAGACATACGCTTTTAGCTCCTCGTGTCTTGTTATTTTCGTGTGTCTGGTGGTCATCATTCTGAGTGGAGACAGACCTTGCCTATTTCGGATACCCCTGGGGGCTGGTGGATTATCCGCTATGGTTAGCTTCCAGACCCACGCTCCTATCCTGGCCGTGGCTGGCTGCAGGGCTCATCCTTACCCTCCACGGGGAAGGTCTTTGTCTTATGTACGTAGTCTGCCTTGTTGTTGCAAATAACATTTCTGCTATAATCGCGGGCTGCCCCGATTTCTTCATTCCACTCGATGTAACCCCTTCCCACGAGCTCCACCTTCACTACGGGGTCCACCAGGGTGCTGTTTAGGGTTAGAATCACCTGCCCTTCTACGCTGGAGCCAGCCAGGTAGACTGCATCCTTGGGCAGCACTAATTCGATCGACTTCACCACAGACATGGGGGGTTGGGGTGGTGGAGAAACATCCTCCCCCACTCCCCATGCTACCGAGATTCTCGGTTCCTTGGCTGTCGTGAGGTCACTGGTCTGTGACATCACTCTGCCCAGAGTTCCGAAACGGGAGGTCTCAGTGGCCAGGAGGGAAGGGGGTGTTGTTTGGGGCAGGTAGCTGCTTGAGAATCTTCCGGTCCTCACTGGATCTTAAACTTGTAGCCCAATCCCTTTTTCCTAGGAAATAGCAACAACAAAAATATCCCACAATTCCCACTACACAGGGAGTACGTGATCACGTCGGGGGGTTGAGGGGCCTGACTGTGAAGAGTTCTTCAGGTCAGCCTGGGAGAGTAGGCATTGTCCACCCAGTTAACAGGTAAAGAAAGGAAAGCCCAGAGGATAACCCCAAAGGGATTTTCTGCCCATCAGATGATCCCCTGAAGTGGTCTGTGTACCTGTCAGGTGGGTGTGTTGATTCGGGGTCATCCACAATCACCCCACAGCAGGGATGGCCATTCCTCAATCCCTTCTCCTCCATTCTCCTCTCGGGATCTTTGGCACACATGCACACGCACCCGGCGTGAGTTTAAGCCACCGGGTCCGGGATTTGAACTGCAGTCGTCTATATGGGCCCGTCATAGCCATAACGCCAACTGTTGGTTCCGGACTCTTTTTATTTTTAATTTAAAAAATTATTTTATTCAATTTCATTTATTTATCTATTTAATTTATTATTTTTTAAAATTCGACCAGAGAGGGACAGAGAGAGAGAGAGAGAGAGAACGTGAAAAAGCAAGCCCCGACCGGCCATTGGCCATGTGGGAGTCCAGCGTCCTTAACTACCACGACACCTGCCAGCCCCCCAAAATAATTCTTAATTTCTTTTTTTTTTTTTTTTTTTGCTATAGGTCATGTGTACTTGCTGGAGAGAGAGAGAGAGAGAGAACTCCCTCCCAGATGAACTAACTGCTTTGCTGAAATTGCTTCTCCTCCATTCTCGTCTTGGGATTTGGGGCATACATACATGTGTGCCTAGTATGTTTTTTTTTTGTTTTTGAGAATTTTTTTTCGCTATAGGGCGTGTGCGCTCGCCAGACAGATAGAGAGAGACAGAGAGACAGAAAGCGAGAAATCACCCCCCAGGGGGGATGGTCACGCCGCAATCCCTTCTCCTCCATTCTCCTCTCAGGATCCTGGGCACACACGCACATGCGCTGGCGTGAGTTTTAAGCCACCGGGTCTGGGACACAAACCGCGGTCGACTACGTGGGAGTCCAGCGACATAGCCATTACGCTAACTGCTGGTTCCCTGCCTGGTATGTTTTTGAAGCTTCCAGGTCTGGGACCTGAGCCACGTAGTTGGCCATGTGGGATCCAGCTGCCTTAACCACCGTGCCACAGGTGGGCCTGGTTGATTAACGTGAGCAAATGTGAGAAATCTGGACTAGGGAATTGGAGCCCTGAATCCCCACAGTCAGGGATTCCCTACAGGAAAAGCCAGACGCCTCTTTCTGTGTTACTCAGTCTCGGATACCCAGGCACCAGCCGCACCCACACCCACTACAAGAGGGCTGTGTGTCTAAGAGGGACGTGGTGGCATGGTTGCGGTCCCAAGACTTGGGAGGCTGAGGCGGGAGGGTCACAACACACGAGACTCCCCTTCTAAAACGAAACATGCATGGGGGGCGGGGGGTGGATCAGCAGTTAGCGCAGTGGCTATGTCGCTGGATTCCCACGTAGACGACCACAGTTCATGTCCCAGACCCGGTTGCTTAAACTCGCGCCGGGCACCTGTGTGTGCGTGCGTGCCCAAGATCCCGAGAGGAGAATGGAGGAGAAGGGATTGCGGCGTGTCCATCCTCCCTGGGGGGTGATTTCTCGCTTTCTGTCTGTCTGTCTCTTTCTGTCTGGCGAGCACACACCCTACAGCGAAAACCTCTCCAAACAAAAACAAAAACAAACGAAACATGCATGGTCCAGTGGTTATGTCTCTAGACTCCCATGTGGCTGACCCTGGTTTGAGTCCTGGATCTAGTAGTTTGAAACTCCCACCACGTGTGTGTGCGTTCATGCCCGAGATCCCAGGAAGAAAATGGAGGAGATTGCAGTGTGACTATCCCCCCTGGGGGGTGATTTCTCACTGTCTCCTTGTCTCTGTCCCTCTCTCTCTGGGGAGCACACAAGCCCTACGGCAAAACCTCTCAAGAGAATACAAACGAAAACAGCACACACGCACACAGGGTGTGTTCCTGGACTGGCCCTGTAGTGCAGTGGCTAAGCGCTGTGCTTTGGGAACCAGACCCTGCATGGGCAGCTCTTCCAATCCTAGTCCTAGCTGGTTTAAACACTCCCCAGGTGCGTGCGGTGTGTGCCCAGTGTCCCGATGGGAAGAGAGATGGAGGGAAAAGGGCCAGAAGGACCACACCTGTGGGAGACGCTCTCTCCCTCTCTCTGTCTCTCTGGCTAGTAAATGTACCCTCTAGGAATTTAATACAAAAGGAATTTTCTCCTTTCAGCCATATCAGGTTTTCCCAATAGCAGGCACAAAGAGATGACAAGCTTTTTCTTTTTCTTTTCTTTTCTTTTTTTTTTTTTTTTTAAGAATGATTTATTTAGGGGCCAGCAGGTGGCATGGTGCTTAAGGCGCTAACTCAGACATGGTGAGCCACGGTTAGAGTCCTACACCTGGCGACTTACCTCCTGGCCTTCTCCCTCTCAGGTCAAACTAAAAAATACTAATAAACAGATTTATTATTATTATTATTAAATTTTGCTATCAGGCATGTGCACTCACCAGAGAGAGTCAGAGATAGAAGGAAAGTGAGAAAGCAAGTCGCCAGGTCTGGGACTCAAACTGTGGTCGGCCACGTGGGAGTCCAGCACCTTAATCACCACGCCACCTTCCGACAAGCTCTTATAGCAATACGGCCCGTTCTTTACGCAGGTGTCCTTACTAATGGGAAGCGCGTGCCACCGTCACGGACTCACGGGGGCCTGCTTGGTTCTTGCCCATCCCTGTGGCTCGGCCTCTGTGTGGAATGTGTTCTACAGGACTGACCCCGTCCTGGAGTTGGCCGCAGTTCACGGCAACATCGGAATTTCACGGATTAGGGCGTATGAGTCTCTCACGGCTGCTGTAACAAGGACCGTGGACTCAGCAGCTTGACTTGACACAAATTTATTAATAATATTATTTGAGTTTTTGCAATAGGATGCATGCTAGAGAGAGACAGAGAGAGGGAAGGGGAGAAATCACTCCCCAAGGGGAACACCCGTGCCTCAATCCCCTCTCCACCCTCCTCTCGAGATTTTGGGTACACACGTGCCCAGTGTGATTTTTAAGCTGCCAGGGCTGGAACTCAAACTGCAGTTGGCCATGTGGGGACCTGGCTCCTTAACCTCCATACCACCTGCTGTCCCTAAATTAATTACTTTTAAAGAATTACTTCATTTAACTTTATTTACTTATTTATTTTAGTTTGACCAGAGAGGGACAGAGAAAGAGAAAGTGAGAAAGCAAGCCACCGGGTCTGGGACTTGAAATGCGGTCGGCCATGTGGGAGTCCAGTGCCCTTAACCACCATGCCACCTGTTGGCCCCAATTTACTATTTTTTTAACTGAAATTTATTTATTATCATTCTCATCCTTTCATTTGCTTTAGGGTACTTGTGCTCACCAGAGACAGAGACAGACAGACAGAGAAGGAAAATGAGAAAGCAAGCCACCAGGTCTGGGACTCAAACCGTGGTCAGCCATGTGGGAGTCCAGTCCCTCAACCACCATGCCCCCTGCTGGCCCACTAAATTTGTTATTGTTTTTTAAAAATATTTCTTTTCAAGTTTATATAGTTCTTAAGAGAGAGCGGGAGGGGCGTTCCCAACAGGGTCTTGGTTCTGCGACCCGCCCCTGGTCAGGGTACCATGGAAGTACCACGGAGGCCCCTGGTTGCAACCCCGGGACCTCCCCGTGGGGGTCAGCCTTCCGGAGCATTGTGTTTTAGTGCCGTGCCACTACCCGGCCCCAGCTTTTACTGGTTTCATCCTGGAGACCGGAAGTCCCCTTGAGTCTGCGGTGAAGCGTGGGCGGGGCTGCTCCCAGGAGAGCACCCACTCCCACCCTCTCCAGCTTCTAGGGGTTGCCCGCGTCCTCGGTCTTAGCCCCATCAGCTTGTGTGGCGACACATCCTCCAATCTTTCTTCTTGTAAATTTCACGTATTCATTCGTGTCTCTCCATTTGAGCAGAGAGACACACAGAGAGAGAAGGAAAGTGAGAAAGGAAGCCACCAGGTCCGGACCGGTACCGTGGTTGGCCGTGTGGGAGCGTCCATCGCTTTAACCACCACGCCACCCGTGGCCCTCCTGCCTCTCTTTCACGTGTGAGGCCCCTTGTAAAGACGCTGGGCCTACCTGGACCACCCAGGGTAGCCCCCATCTTAGCTCCCTGTATCTCACCGCACTGGCGGAGTCCCCAGTGCCGGGGAAGGCTCCATGGTCATAGCACCAGGCATGAGGAGGCGGACATCTTTGGGGTGCCCGTTCTGTCAGTCACATGGGGAAATAACAGAAGTACCCCTGGCGGCAACAGAAGGAGCTCACATGGGCCCGCAGGTGGTGTGGTGGTTAAGGCACTGGGTCCCATGTGGCTGAGACAGAAGGAAAGTGAGAACGCAAGCCACCAGGTCTGGGACTCGAACTGTGGTTTGAGTCCCTGACTGGTGGCTTGTAAATCACACCACGTGCATGTGTGTGCATGTCCAAAATCCCGAGAGGCGAGACCAGCCGATGGCGTAATGGTTACGCCGCTGGACTCCCACGTAGTTGATCGCAGTTCTAGTCCCGGACTCGGTGGCTTGAAACTCACGCTAGGCGCGTGTGTATGTGTGCATGCCCGGTATCCCCAGATGAGATTGGAGAAGGGATTGAGGCAGGGCCATACCCCCTCAAGTGCTGATTCTTGCTTTCTGTTTTTCTCTGTCTTTCCACTGAGTGCACATGCCCTATAGTAAAAATCCCCCCCCCAAAAAAAAAGAAAAAAAAATCAAAACAACCCAAAATTCTGAGAGGATAATGGAGGAGACAGGACTGTGGCGTGGCCATCCACCCCGCACTTTCCCCCTCTGTCTCTGTCTTTGGTGTTGAACTGGGGCCAGCAGGTGGCGTGGTGGTTGGGGAGCTGGACTACCACATGGTCAACTGGTTCGAGTCCCGACCTGTGGGTTGCTTTCTCACTTTCCTTCTTTCTCTCAGTCTGTCTCTCGTAGGGCAGGTGCCTATAGTGAAACTTGAAATAGCAATAATTAAATAAACAGATGATTGAAAAAAACGTTGAACTTAGCGTTTCCCTTCTTACACCCTTACCAGGCTAGTCACCACTCTCAGGAGAGAGCCCACAGTCCTCTGGTGGCCTTGGATGTCCCCCTCTGACCTTATCCCCTCCTCTGGTCCTGGGCCCAGGCTGCCCCGGTAACACAGGCCTGCTTCCTGCCCCTGTAACACCTCGAAGTCTTTTCCGGCCTCTGAGCTTGGGCGTCCTTCTGAGACTCAAATGTCCCTGGGGTCTTGGCTCTAACGTCATTTGTTCAGAGAGGCCCACCGCCTTGGATTGAGCGGAACCACCTCTTTCTGCCCTGGCGTGCCTGCTGTCACTCCGCCCTCGCCCTCGTGGGCGCACCATCCTCACTGCCCGTGGCCCAGCGGCACTATCTGAAAACACCTGCTTTCTTCCTCCATTTCTTATCTAGCTCTCCCGCACAAGAATGAACTTCCCTGGAGACCACTGACCGCTGTCCTTGCCCACTGTCGGCCTCCCAGCTGGGACCACCCTGTCCAGCCGTTCTGTAGTTGTCCAGCATGGGTGACCTGTGTGCCCGCCAACACTGACCAGAGTGGAACAGGCAGGGTGGAGGGGGCAGGGCAGCCCTGCCCGCCCGCCTGGACAGCTCGGGAGAAGGCGGGAAAACGAGGCGGGAAGAACCAGCAAACAAGCCCTGCGGGTGGGTAGGGTGGGGAGCACTGGCTGGGCCCGGCGCCCCC